AAGCGAAAAACTCAATATTGTAAATGGGAAAAGACGAAACCGCAGTTGGCACTCAAGCCAAAAAAAGGAGTTTCAATGCGAAAATCAGTACCGATCGATCTTACGATACGATACGATACGATACGATACGATACCATATCATTGGAAAGAAGATTTTGCGCACTGCGCACGCTATTGCTTTTTTTTATTTAAAAATCATTGGACATGTGGAGCAACCTCATGCAAAACAGCTATTGAAACAGTTTCATTACAAAGCTAGGTTGTGCTTTATTGTCAAACACCGTGCATTGTTATCTAGTCCCTCGCCTTCCAAACCTAAAAGAGACTGGAATCCAACAGGAGTAATAATGACGTCAACAAATGTTAAGCTTGACCATCACCCACAGTAGGGAGATTGTCCAAGGAATAAACAGATTGAGCTGAACTGCTGTCATCTTAGTTGTCTCTCAAATCAGCTCGTGTGATGAATCATTTGGGGGCCGCAACTGTTTAGTTCTTGCAAACTACCCTTAGCATAGCTGCGTGTGACAAATTGCACCATCAAATAAATTATCACTCATCTGAATGGGGCGGTGGCAAGCCCGTCTATGTAATGGGTGCAACGTGAAAATTTACTACAGTCTAAGGGGTAAGTGTCCCAATTAAACGATGTGTTAAGGAAAGGGAGGTTGGATGTTGGACTGTTGTTACCAGTCTCCTTTTGCAACCGTCGTTTGGTCCGTCACGCATCACTTTCCCATTTGTCTAATCAGAGAAGGTGTTGAGTGACGAGCGCAAACAATGGTTGTGTAGGAGACCAGTGACGATAAGCTCAAGTTTTGCAGCACAATAATAACGGACGGTAGTTTTTTCGAACTGATTAAGGAACCTGGGAAGTAAAAACAATGTAATACCGCCGTTGACAGACAGCTATATTGGTACTATTTCATATTGTAATGTTTTAATTACTTTTCCTTTTCTTTTTTCTGCACTATAGTTAACACTCAGACAAATACACTTTCCTATAAAGTCTACATCACTTATGACATCATCTGTGGTACTTCTTCCATAATGAACCTTGTGATGATCAGCTTGGAGCGCTGCATCTCCGTCACGCAACCTGCTATCCATAGAAACTTGTCACGAAAGACTATTTGCGTGACCATTGCTGCTGCCTGGGCATATGCCCTTGTCGTCGCAAGCGTCAGTCGTATTAGTGGATCGTATCTTGAGTGGTACCCGATTTTTGTGAGCACTGCGAGCTTTTTTCTGCCGTTGTTTATAATCCTCGTTGCGTACGCTTTGATTTAAAAAATCGCACAAACAAGGGAACGTGCGAGACAGTCGCGATCACTCGCGCGGGAAATCCGCATCGCGGTGACTCTTGCGGTAGTTATCGGAGCTTTCGTCGTTGCCTGGTTACCATTCTTTGTCATGTTGCTTGTGACGACTTACTGCAAGACGTGTACAATTAATTACACTATAATCGTGCCTTTTACAAAGTGGATGCATTACAGTGGATCTATGGTAAATCCCATCATATACACTCATCGCAATCGCGATTTTCGTCACGCGTTTGCGAAAATATTAGTTTCATGTGGAATGAAGCAAATGAGACTTTCTTTCTCTCATCCAAATTCTAAAGCTACTCCACTGGAAATTGAAAACTTCCCCTCGGATTTGAAACCGGGATCTTTTTGTATATCTGGGGAGGATAGTGGAATCCCTGCACGAACAGCGAGGGCAAACAGCTACGTTCTGGCGCAGGAGGCTAACGGTCACGTGAGCATTACTGGATACGGAAACAACGAAGCTAGAGCATAACTCATCACTTCCATTTAAAGAGGAACTTCATCAGTATCGGATTCGGAGGTATCGACTCATCACTTCTGTTCAAAGAAGAATTATTTCATTACCAGATATGGTTTCAACGAAAAAATTTTAAAGGATGAGAAAAATACAAATTGAAGTTGGTAATATTGATGAAACATGGTTCTGAATCTTAAGCTCGATGTGGAAATGAAAATAACTTTGATAATTTTTAAACTATTTTACTTAGAATAAAAAAAAACTAAAATAACATAAGGGCAAGTATTCTTTGGAATCATTCTGATTACATTCACTACCAAAGATGTTTGTGGTGAGTGTTTCTTCATTAAACAGAGTTGTCCTCAAAGCGATAGACAAAAACTTGGCTCAGACAGGTTTTACTGATTCTACAAATTATTTGTAGTTTCCGCTGGAAAATCGTTCTTTCATCTGATAACTTTTTTCATTGTGAAATAAAAAGGGTTCTCCTGAAAATGATTTGAATTTTGAAATGTTTTCGAAAAACTTACTATTATTCAAGTTACTAACTCGTAAGAAGCTATCTTGCTTTTACAATAGAAACAAAATACATAAATGTACTGATCGTTGTAAAAAACTTTTTTTTTTATAATTACTACTGAAGAAAGAACCATAAACAAAACCACTTGGTGCTTTTGCACGAACCGTAAAGTCGTCAAGTGAAATCCTCTGTACGGGTACACACCCCTCGCGCCTTATTCATTTGTGTCATTCATAACATTTTGGTTTTAATGACAAGAATACCATTTTCTGTACTCAAATACAATTTGAATTAAAGAATATATTCTATTTGACGTACATACTTCTGGTTGCTTTTCTGGTTGAATTTACCTCAATAAAAATTCCTTTGCACTTTTACAACCAAAATATGATTGGCGCTTTCCGTTTTGCTTTGTTCCTAACATGAATACTACTCATGGTCGCGTATGGTTAAAATGGTCAACAAACTGATGGAGGCGTTCTTCCTCCCATGGTCCCTTGCGATCTCAAATATTTTTTTTGTGGAAGAAACCACAGTTATCACGTTGTGCATGGTGACGTGGCGCATTTTGCGGGGAAAAAGGAGATTTTTTTTTCTATCCAAAGGGATTATAATAGTAATATAATTTATATTCTTAGGCATGAATTTGTTTTGGCCCTTCTTCAAGTCATTTTAACCATCATTTAAGTGATCTGTCATGCGTGATTTCCTGGGTGACCTATCGCGTTACTCGTAAAGTGACACATCGCGTGGTGTATTTGCATTTTGCAAGGCTGAGGGAGTGGAGATAGCCGTTTATGACTTACTCGTGCAGTTTTCCGAACCTCTCGCTTGTTAGATTTTCTTTTCTCCTTCAAAATTTCCACAAGGAAATGCAGACTTTGTACCCTGAATTAAAGAAATCAAACTGATAAAAAAGCTGCCTCATCCCCGGTCCCTCCGCCACATTCCACAACATAGCCCTCTCACAGAAAACCGCGTTCCTCCGGCGGGACGCAGGGATGCTTGTTACTTGATAACTTGAGGCACTACCGATGGGTTGACCGTCTTAAATCGCACAAAACTTAAATCTTAGCCTACTTCCTGGCTGTTATAAAAGAGTTTTAAGCTTCATCTCTTACTTTGATTTCTATTTGCTGGTAAAGGAAGACAAGTGAACAAGTTCTTCCTTAATAACTCCTCTTGTTTTAAAACTAGCAGGTCTGTTTCTGAACTAGGTTATTTTTCAAGGAACAACTTATTTTATTTTGGGGTGTATACTGCAAAGCTGAACCCCTTTGCAAGAGAAAACCTACGAAAGAAAAACGGCCAGTGGACGAGTTCAAGACGAGTTGTTTCAAAGACATGATTAAATGACTTCTTTCTATCTTTATTAATTTTTATTAAACTGAAAGACTGAGTGTGAATCAATAGATATTGAATCACAAATTATAAACCTTCTTGTATTGTTGTCTCTTGGTTGAGAAAACACAAGCATGCTGTTTTTCTTATTGTCCAGTAAATAAATATTAATTTGATATCATTACAACAGGTGACAATACTGAATTCAAACTATCAAATTTCACTGCATCAGTAAATATTACAAAGTTTAACATCAAATCATGCACAAAATACTTCCCTACCAGCGACTAGACTTGAATGACTAAGAAATGATGGGAACAATTTCAAGCTGGTTTCCGTCACTTAAAGATTTCACTTAATTGGCAACATTAAACCGAAAAACCCAATTTAATCTGATCCCAATTATTTTCAAAATTACTACACTTTTTGATGACTTGTGAGCTATGAAGTTGGAGAGAGATTCCAGTGAAATCAAAAGATCATGTCCTAAACTGAACTGTTTCAGGTTTAACCTTTTTAACTCCCAAAAGTGATAAATATCTTACTTCTCCATATTATTAGTTCTTATTAACTGAGCCGGAGGTCTGCATAGGAGAATCTTGACCAAGGTCACCAGTACAGACCGAATGCAGTAGTTCCCAGTCCTTGAGACACAACCATATAATAATCAAACTTATTATCCAACCGTGCTTCGTAGAGTACAAATAACATGTGAGACGACTACAAATATCATGCAATATCTGTACTCCAGAAATATCCGCTAAATTCACCCGCGCTTAAATAAGAATTTGGTGTGTTTGATAATAATCTCTTATTAGACTTTTTGTTGTATAGTATCACTGGGTATTTTTACTTGTTGTTTATATTTTGACTCACCCTCTGCACTCATCAAAATATGGCACAACTCGTACAAATACTCAGCAATACTTCACAACAAAATGTCTTATAAGATATATTTATTGGGTAGAAGCTGTTATCTTGATCTACCACCACATTTTTGTTATTGGTTTACAAGGAATTGTGTAGAAGCCAGAGGGAGAATTAAAAATCATTTCATGGGAGTTAAAGGGCTCAAGTTTGTGAAAAAAAGAAGATTAAAAAAGATTAATGGCAGCAAAGAACTTTAACTAACTCTTCATGTCAAAAACCACACAAAAAATCCATAGGATATATTGCATGTAATGAAAACGATCTGTGCCAAATTGTTCTCTCCAAGTTAGTTTGAAAGTAATATCAGATTAAAAAGATATGCTCTCAAAACAAATCAGCTGGAAGCACTTTTCAAAGAAAAGTTGGAAAGCTATCTTCATTCTTAACTTATTCAATTACAAAGAAAAACTTAACACTAAACTAAACATTCATGCTAACTTTAATGCATAGTTTTGAGTAATTTTTCAAAAATGAACAAAAGTGTGAGTGTAAGCAGTATGCAACTATCGGTTAATCTCTTCATAAAGGATATCCTCAACATCATTTTTGACAACTGAACAAATTGAAAATTCAATTTACATGCTCTCTCTGAAAATGTCATGCTCAAAATCAATGGTTGGATTAACAAGTAGTTTCCAAGTAAACATTGCTGGGCTGCAATAGTGGGCCATTTCTATGATTAATCCCATTTGATCCTGGAAAGATTCCATCTGGCTCTGACTCACGTCCCATTAAAGTTGCACGCACTGCCTGCTTGTACATTCCCGTTGGTATTTTCATGTACATAACATCTGTGACCACGCGCACTGAGTAATCTGGAATGTACTGACTGCCTGGGGGTTTTGCATTCAGTGACGACAGAAGTGCCTTTGTACCAAAGCTTGTAAAGGGGCCTTCTTCAAAAGTGAGCTCATCTTGTCCAATAGTAACTTCAACTTTTCCTTGAATAATCAGAGTAAAGAATTCTGCCACAACTCCTTTCTTGTACAAGAACTTCAGGTTGTTATCCATTTCATCATCCAATTTGATCTCTTGGACAATATGAGGCTGGTTTATTAAGCGCTTCAGCATGTTGAAAGAGATCACATCATCACTGAATGCTTCCACAACTGTTATAGAGAACACAGCAAATCAGAAAGTAAATACAATGAAACTGTATAAAGTGGAACCTTTCCTCCAAATCATTAAACCCTGACATCAGTATGCACATTCTCCATACTGTTCACCATACATTAAAGTGCTCACGGGGAGAACTTGTTTAACAATTACCAACTTTTTAATTGGTGATCATTTCCTTTATTCTTATGATCTTAGGGTGTGATATCAAAGGGTGTTATTGAAAAGAGAAATAAGAAGCTGATCAACCTCTATTCAGGGGACACTTGCCTTGCTTAAGGTTTAACTGCATGTAATTTCAATTTACTAATACAAACTATTCAAAAGAATTCCATTAAGTGGTCAGCACTCACACCTATTTCCATACATGTATATATGAAACTCAAAACGAGCTTTTCATGTTCCATAGCTTTCAACAAAATGGTTACACATTGGGGTTTTATCTACCCACTTAAAACTTGCCACCATGTTTCACATATAAAAACAAACAAACAACTACAATGAAAGAGCTGCTTAGCAATAGCTTTTGTTAGAATGGTTACACATTAAGTTTTTTTTTTTATCCACGGTCTATAAATGCATAAGAAAACCTTTGGAGCAAAAAACCAATTAGAAACCCAACTCACATAAGAGTACATTGGTGAATTATGTTAAGCTTATTCCCACCTATCAGGGCTTGACACTAACAGTAGCCAACTAGTCACAGACTAGTAGAAATTCAGTTTTGGCTAGTGGTTTTAGATTTCCACCAGCCAGTTTGGCTAGTAAACAAACTGAAATTGTTGTAACATCTAAGTTGTCACTAGCCACTTGGCTTGTAAGTTCAAAGTTAGCTTTGAGCTCTGCCTATGCCTGTATTTATGTACGTTTTATGTGTGTACAAGAACTTGCTCAGGGGCTGAATAGAAAGCAATGAGACATCTTAGAAGAGGTGGTGGACTGCTAGTCACAGGATTTTATTGAAACCCCCCTTAAAAGCATTATTTTAAAACATACAAGTTTCCTACCTGTGGTAAGATACTGCAATATTGCTAGCTGTAACTGGGGAGATACTTTAGGCTTCTCCTGTTCTTCTGTGAAAAGTGATAAATGAACCGGCTCTTTGCGTCCTGGTATGACTTGTCCAGATTTATTGTCCACTGTTAAACATAAGAATGAAACAAGTAAAATACATGGAAAGTGAATTTATGCTTTGGAGTAACTGCAAAATACCCTGTAGCTTCACGGCCACTTATTTAACCTGTGTCACTGTACTTTGTCAAGAGCCTGTCAGTAGTTGTTTGTCAACACTTCTCTAACTTTATTCCGTAAGAAAACAACTAAATGAAAGGGTATTTATTCTTAAAAGTATGGTAATGATTAAAAATGAAATACTCTTGGAACTGAGCTGCAAACCAGTTCAAACAGTTAACATCAATTTGATTAAGAAAATCACTACAAACATCTGGGTACACCAAGAACAGGATCAGATTGCAATAAGATAAATCATGGAAACTTGGAGAACACACACAAACAAAATAAAAAAAGATTAAAAAAAAAAAAACAAACAAAACAAAACAAGAAAAGCAAAAACCATTTTTAACAAACAGCATTTAAAGCTCTTTTCTATGATACTGAGAGATTCTCCTGCACAATATCAAACCACTTAATCTTTTTTTGTCTTTTGAACATTTCATGCAGACATTTTACAGGTATCCTGTGACTTTCACACACATCTTTTCTTAAATCAAATACTTTTAAAGAATACTGATATTACCATATCTTGAAATATGGTTTGAAAAACTGAAAAATGAGGAAATTACCCCTGGTTTGCATTGCGCATTTTCTATTTCATTACAGTGTATATTATCTGTGTGTGTCTTAGAGGAATATGCCAGCATGTAAATGCAGTATATTCAATTGCTTGCATCACTCGATATTTCACTTGTGGTTAATAATCAATTTGCAACAGCTTTGAGGTTGAATAACAGCTGAATCAAAGCAGGCTTTTATAATTAATGATAGTGAACTTCAAACCACAATTTTTTCATAAGAAACTTAAAAATTTTCAAAATAACTTTGCCATTTTCACCTCTGTCAAATTAACTCAATGTTAGCCAAAACTGAACCTAATAAGTATAATGCAGCTTATTTCAACCTAAAATAACATAATATATTTTTAAACAATGTTTGCGAAACAATATTTTCCAATAATCATTCTAAGAGTGAATAATATTGTGTATTTTGATAGCTGAAATTATCATATATATTGATGTTGCTGATTTTAAATAGTTAAAAAACAACAATTAAATATTGTATTTTTTTTCTCTTTATTTCTTACAAATTTCAAAGGACATCGAGTTCTGTAACTGAATACGAGACAGGAATGGAAAATAATATCACTTCTAGCAGAGAGAGAGTTCTTTCATTATTTAAAGTGTGGTGACGTGGGTGCCCACAGAGGCTACTTGAAATTCCCATGAGCTCTGGATTCTCATGCAATGTCTGTCCCTAATCCTGCAAAAAAATTAAATAACATAAAGCCATACAAATTATTCATAAAAGCTATACTATACTTACAATAGATGTCTGTTTCATCCACAATCTCTGACTGGATTATTTCTTCTAAGATGTCTTCCAAAGTAACAATACCTATAGCTTCATAAAATGGGTCTCCATCACCCTCATTATTCACGCGTTGGACCACTGCCAAATGTGAATGCCCCTTCTTAAAGTCTTCAAGCATTGAATCCAAATGCACATCATCAAAAACACGCTGAACCTTGTGATTGTAGAATTTAATAACAGCACGCAGTGGAGTACAGTCATCTGTGTCAATAAAAGCTAGGTCTTTAACCAGTAACAAGCCCACAATATTATGCCGTTCCCCATCGTACACCGGAATGCGACTATGCCCTGATTGCATTATGTTTGCAATAGTTCTAAAATCAAGGATGGACAATATATCCAGTAGATAGCAGTCTTCTAACTTTGTCATGACCTCTTTCACAGTTTTACTCTTGTAATTTAAAACTCCTGAGATAATATTCATTTCATCCCCTTCTAGATCATTGAATTCTGCTGTAACTTTTAACATTTCTTGTAACTGTCTCCTATTGTACACTGTGCCTATTTCATCGCCTAATATCCAATCTAAAATCTTACTTATAGGAAAAGACACGGGGAAAGTAATAAGCATGAAAAATCTTGTGATCCAAATGGTGCGTGCACCAACAGCCAACCCATGCCTGGAACAAATACTCTGGGGTATTATTTCGCCGAATATAACAATTCCAGCGGTGGAACCCAAAACAGCAGCAACTCCACTACCGATTAAGCCGTCTAGAAGAATTGTGAAGGACGTATTTACCAAAACATTGCCCAACAACAGTGTGCATAGAAGGTAATTCCCATGCTTGCGAAGTGGAGTGATACTTTTAGCGTATTTTTGTTCGTTGGAGTTGCCGCAGTTCATGACAATTTTAAGCTCTGTTGGATCAAGAGCCATTAGCCCCAGATTAAGCCCGGAGAACAAGCCTGACAGCAACATCAGAACTACAATAAATAATATCTTCAGCCACAGAGGTAGATCACTTTTTCCTTCGCACTTGATCTGGAGAAGAGGATCGTCTGAACCCCCTTGATGTAACCATTCCCTTCCATTGCCGGACTGCAGACAGACATAATGAGGTTTCCCACAGCTTTCCTTCGGTAAACTCACTTCGGCTTCTCCTACATATTGCTGAAGGCTGTTTTCAGTGAACTCTACAGGCTTCGTTCGATCCTCATCACATTTTGTTTGAGATTCTCCCACGGTAGTCGTAAAAGCAATACGAGTGTCCCGCGTAAATCCTGCACCGTAGAATCGTAGCGTCACTAAATTATCCGCAGTTATTACGAGAACACCATCTACGATGGATGATTTGCCACCCGAATCACCGACAGGACTTATTCCTGTCACGTTGGCCTCACATTTTACAAACCTGAGAAGAGCGGTAACTGTAATAAGACAAAACGTAAGGACATAAACATTGCAGCTTGAAGAGAAGATGGCGGCCATCCGAGACTGACGATCTCGTGATGAACGTCACGACGATTACTCACGAGGATTGACCGGAAGACTCCAAATATGGACTTCATAAAAATTAATAGATTTATGTATTAAATTTTTAGCCAATTGTGCATGAGCTGGTCCGTTAGCTCAGTCGGCAGAGCGCGGTGCTGATACACCTGAGTCAGAGACTCAATGCTAGGAACGCCGAGGTCGAGAGTTCGAGCCTCTCACGGACCACATACTTTTTCAATTAATTTGTTACCTTAGCTAAATTTATTATCTTCCCCTACTTTTCCACCCTGTAAAAATAACTTTTGTTTCTTCGTCTTGTTAATCGTGATTTATTTTCTTTATTGGAAAAACGCACCCCCTATTTTCATGTAATCTCGAAAAAAAGTTTGAATCTCGCCACAACAATAAAACCAAATATTATGATTTATTCGGTTTCACGGAACGTCTTAATTGTAGTTACATACGAGAAATTTAATGAGGATAGAAATACCTCTTTATTGACCCAATATCTTCTTGCTTATTTTTTTCTCGTAATTTTTGCCTGGCCCTCCCATGCTAAAAATATTTTTAGGCGTCGCATTCCAACCTAGTCACGTGATCAAAATAATCCGCATATCCGTTTTGCAGCTTGAAGAGAAATATTTCAATCGCTCTGCTAGTTTTACTGATTGTGGTTTAGTGTCCTGTTGACGTTTGAGGACGTTTTTCTGCAACCATGAGTCGAGGGACGACTTCAGTGACCGGCGACATAAAAGTGGAAAAGAGTAAAATGAAATGGGATCCGAAAACTTTGGAAATTCGAACGCATTCAGTCGAGAAGACCCTCGAACCCCTTGTTCATCAGGTACAGTTTGTGTTGTTGGGTTTGTTATCCAGCTTATCTCGATTTTCAGTGGAGTTTATTGAAATATCGAACGATGATTCAACACGATTTCCCTGAAATAGTTCACTCAAATATTTTTTTTGTGTAGCTGGTGCAAAGGGAACAACGTAGAGTGTCCAATTTTTTCTTCTTGATCAAATTGGTGTCTTGTCGAACGTTGAAAATATTTCGTACTGTTCTTGCCGCAGCTTGAGTGTTCTTACTTTAACATGTAAATTAGTTTTGAGAGGAAAAATTCAAAACTTACGACCTATCGAGAGCTTCGTGAAAACCCTTTATAATCTGGCGGAAAGATATGTTCTCCACTTAATTCCAAATGAACAGAGTCAAACCTTGACAACTTTTACTTGAATCCTTCCTTCTGTTCTCTGGGCCATCGATTAGCTTAAAATTGTACGAGTTTTAACAACAAATCATGGTTTGCCAATGGATATACGTTGTACGACTGGGCATTTTACGTTCACGTTGTTGGCGAATTTATTTAATTTAAGTTGTAAACCGTTGATAAGCAGATTTTCAGCTATTTATACCGGCGATTTACCGGTATCTCATGACAAACAATTCAACGATATACGAGGGTGCGGCCATTTTGCTCTTCTAAAATTGCAGTCAAAAATTACCAACAGCGTATTTGTGTAAATGATGCATGGAAGTCTCTTGGTCTCGTTTGGTTTTGAGGCCAGGACTGTCTCTAGTAAGACATCCAGACATTGGTGTTATCAAATGAAATTACAGTAATAGCTTCAGTGCCTGACTTTTCATAATAAGACAATTAATCAAGGATGAGTTACCTTTCGTTCTTGCAATTATAAAGACATTACTACCCTGCATGGGGTAAATGTGACCTCTCAGATTCAGAAATGTTTCATGTTGTCAACTGTCATGTTAAATTTCCTAAAAAGTTTGCAATTGCAAGTACAGTAAAGTTCTTCACAACTGAAGTTGTACAGTCATGCATATATCTGCAGTTTTTTTTTCCCTTGTAATATGTTATGTCATAACATGATTTATGACATCAGTGAAACCAAAACTCCCATTGGTCAGGAAAAAAAAAAGTTTCCCTGAACCAAAATTAAAGTGTTATAAGAATTGGGAGTTCAGTCTTTAAAAAGGACTGACCAATTAGTGCTATTAACACAGCAGAGAGTGTTGAGTTTACCTGATCGATGAAACTCTTCAACCAGATTCCACCACCTAAAATTAAAACTCAGAGTATATCCTCTAGAGAAAAGGAATTGTACTTCATAGCATCATCTTATCTTAAGATATTCTAAATGCCTGAATTATAACTGCATATTTATCTCTAGCTTTATTTCATATCAGGTTTCTCTGTTCTGAAAAACAAATAAGACTCTGACAATGTGTAAACAAGGCATTTTCATGACAGTGGTCTATCATTTACTTCTTTTCAGGTAACAACCTTGGTGAATCACCCAAAGAAAAAGGGTAGCAAACTTGGAAAGTCTAAGAATGCCCATAAACTTGCCCAAGACATAGAAGATGCTACAGCTCGGCTGATTAAAACAGGAGAGGAAATTGCTCAAGAGTTTCCTGAAATCAGAGAAGAAATGTTAGCAGCTTGCAAGGACTGTCGGGGGGCAGGTATAGCCTTTGTTAGTTAGAGTGACCAAATTGTACTGTGCTTTAAATGTATTTAACTTTTTTAAAACAATTGAGGAATGAGTCAAACATTGGTTCAGCATTCTCAACCAAGTACTTATACACCTATTAAGATCTCATCGTGTCTATTTATATTTCAGCATGGTATTTTTATTGTTAAGAAGTGTTTTTTTCTCCATCAGCATCACTCTGGGTAGTTTTAACGTTTTGAAGGGTTAGTTGTTGCTAAGGATATATTGACTTCTTGGCTGAATATTATTTCATTGTTCATCTGACATTTGTCATTTGATACAGAATTTACCACTCTCCCAAAGTGAGGAATGATTTTGGGTTGGACATGTAAATTAATCTTCCACCAGGAACTTCATAATAGGCCCATGATGTGGGCAACAAACAAGTAACTAGCCCTAGACATTACAAAGTTACAATTCCGAGGCATTTGCATCATGTGTAACTGCCAATCAAAATAAGTTAATTTTTGCCTTGCTTTGCAGGAGATTCGATGCGAATTGCAGCCAAAGAATTTGCAGATGATCCATGTTCATCTGCCAAAAGAGCTACAATGGTCAGGGCTGCTCGGGCATTGTTGTCCTCTGTCACAAGATTGTTGTGTGTTGCTGACATGGCAGACGTGTATCGACTCCTTGCTTCACTGAAATTGGTCAGTTGAGATTTTAATCTATTCTGGTTATACCAACATACCCTTGTCCTTTCTCTCCTCTTACATACATGTTTAAGATTCTACCATCCTCACTTTCTATGTGTTAATGGCTGTTGGTCGCGCTTTTTGTGTTTTATCCAAAATCACAGTTTAATTACCCCTAGTCTTCTTCAAGTGGTTCAAAGTTTTGCACAGAATAGCTCAAAATGTTCTGCGTCATTATCTTTGACCATCAGAAAATCCAACATGTCTGCAGTTTTGGGACTGATTTAAGTGCCATAAACTATTGTTGATGTACATAGAATACTCTCTTATTTTGTAAAATTAATGTAATTTATTGTTGTTTTATGGTTTAATTTTGTATTGCTTTCTGTTGGTTACTTTTTTTTTAGGTGGAGAAGAGACTGAAGGAGTTAGAGAAAGCTAGTAACACTGCAGACTTGCTGAATTCTTTTAAGAATCTTGGGAATGATCTGATGGACTTGGCAAAACTTTCTGGCAAGAGACAAGCAGTAAGTGAACATAACATGGTCTTGTACAGTTTTGCTGGCTCTGTGATTTCTTGTTAAGGTGGTTACATGACATTGATTCCAATTTGTGTTTCCTTGAAATATTCAGGACTTAAAAGATCCACACAGGAAAGATGACATGGCTGCTGCAAGGGCCACTCTGAAAGAGTCAAGCAAAATGCTGCTGTCATCCTCCAAGGTAAATTCCTTTAAGTCATTGTCTGTGGCAGTATCACTGTTTTAATGCTCAGACATCTATGAACAGTTAGCATGATACATTAACAATGATCTTAGTTTACCGCAAGACATGCATGTGCTGTGCAGTGTACTATACTGTTACAGTTCTCTTTGTACATGTAAATGGTTATTGATAGCCTTGCTCTTCTTTGAAGGAAATTTCTCCAGGAGAAGCTTCATTTGTTAACTATGAACTTCCCATTGGAAAGGAAGGCTATATTTCATTCTCTTCGGAAGATGGCTACCCTTAGAACAGATCTAGAGCCCTATACAGTATTGTTGTTGCAGACCCCAGGTTCTATAATTTGAGTTAATCCAAGTCTGTTTTAGTAGTTATTTATGAGTTATACTTTCATAGTAAAAAGAAAAATAAAAATCCTTTCAATTAGTTATTAAGTGGTGAGAACTTCCTTTGGCTAGACACTGCACAGCTGGGTATTTGTACAATTATTATGAATGAATGAATGAATGAATGAATGAATGAATGAATGACTGACTGACTGACTGACTGACTGACTGACTGACTGACTGACTGACTGAATGAATGAATGAATGAATGAATGAGCTTTAATAATTACTCCTGTACAGGCCTTTCAGCAACTATTTACAGTGGTAGACAATTTACAATCACAAATGAACAACTTAAAATAGGATAATAAAAATGAAAAAAAAATTATATATGTCCAATGGGTATCATACAAAGACTATTAATGTGCCCCTCTTAAGAAGTCCTTCAAAGAATGTTTCAGTGACTTTACAGAAGGCAAGTTCACTAGCTCACTACTCAGGGAATTTAATAGTGAAACTGCTCTATAGGCAAAGGTTCGTTGACTGTTCGCGGACCTATAAAAAGGGATCTGAAGTTTGTTGCTATGCCGCGTGGCTCGATCATGTATGGTGGTGCGTTTTTGTAACTTGTTACATAAGTAGTCGGGTGCCAAATTATTGGCATACTTATAAGCCATAACTGTATCTCTAAGTTGTTATATGATAATATTAAAATTATTCAGTTAGTAACTTTGATTAGCATTGTGCTGAACTTTGTGCTTCTTCCAGGCTTATGTGCGCCATCCTGAAGTGGATTCTGCAAAAGCCAACAGAGATTTTGTGATGAAGCAAATGTCTGAAGCAGTGAATGCCATCTCAGGGGCAACACAGGCTACTGGCTCTAGTGGACCACACCCATATGAGACTCCAGGGGCATTGGCAACAGCTTTAGATGACTTTGATGTGGGTACATGTAGATTGTAAAGAAAAACAGATTTTATGAAATTGTTGAAATAGTGAGAAATAATTGTGTAGGAGACTGTAGAGGCCAAGTAAAGAAACAAGTGAATAGATTGTAAATTGGTTAAGAATGCACCTTTTTCGTTTAGCCTGATCACGATATTATAGCAGTATTGGTATAACATTAGTATTTGTATGTAGTTCTAGTATTTATTTATTTTATTTTACTTTAATAGTTGTATTAATGAATTAATTATTACTGTTATTTTATTGTGAAGTGCATTTGAACATTGTATGGAATTTATGCTATACAAATTATTGTTATTATTATTATTCCCAACTGGTTGGTGGCAAACAAGTTGAGTCCTTTTGAGGGGCTGCAGAGAAATTGAACCTGGGACAACCAGAGATAAATTCATTTGAGTTGCAGGGTGTGAGTTGTACAATTAGTTCAATGTTGGATTGCCCTGGTTTCAAATTGAGCAATGCAACCTCTTTCACAACTGGATATGACAGTGAAGAAGATTTTCCTTGATACTAAAGTTGTGCAGCAACTACATGACTTGTATAACATTATATCATGCACAAATGGCTGAATGGTATTTCGGGAACATATTAACAGAAATATTGGTACAGTTTGAAGTTAACTTTATAACTCCCATGAGTGACATATCAAGTAGATAAGTTATGAGAATAAAGAAAAAATATCGATAAGTGGATTTTTAGTTGATCCAAAACCAAATTCTGTGAACTAACATCATAACTAATTATAATAATTTTAGTAAACTGCCAAAGCTGACAATCATGTAGTGTGGCATAAATTATGCATGTTTCTTTGTATTCCAGTCCCAGGTCAGCATGGATCCAACTTCCTACTCAGAGAAGCGCACCCGTCCCACATTGGAGCAGCGTCTTGAAAGCATCATCAGTGGAGCAGCACAGTTAGCTGACTCAATATCAACTAGAGATGATACACGAGACAAGATTATAGCCAGTTGTAATGGTGTGCGGCAAGCTCTCCAGGATCTACTATCTGAATATATGAATCATGTAAGAACCCCAAATAATTCATGCAGTCGGTGCTTATCACAAATTGATCATACATTGTGAGGACCATGGTCAAATCGAAACATGTTTTAGAACTCTACCCTTTAACCTTAATTTCTCCATACAGTGTCACCACTGAAATGTTCATAGGTCATAAGAATGAGTAATCATCAACTTAGGATACTCTGGATTGTTAAGCAAATTCTCTTTGTCAGTCTCAGAGGAAACATTTAGAGAACAGTTTGGAGACTGAGCACACTGATGTTAGGTTGTAAAGGGTCTATAATTACACTGACTTGTTCAAAGCTAAGGTTCTGGTATGGGATTGGTATTGCAGAATTTGGTATTTGTGGAAATTAAGTCTTTTTCTCATTCTTTTGACAATTTGTTTTGCTTTTCATGTGTCCAGGCCACAGGAAAGAAGAAGGCTTCTCCTGGAGGATCACTGGACCAAGCCCTGGAAAGGATGTGTAGACGAACCAGAGAGCTGAGAGGCCAGGTAAAAGAATTTAAATGGATGTGACAGCTTTTGTGATTTTTGATATTTCCCCATGAGAGTGATTTTTGTCAGGCCTTTTAAAACACTTGTCAACAAAATGATGAATGTCAGGATGTTTCCGATCACATTGGGTCAGGGTGTTGATGTACTGGTACCCAGTTAGGGTGTTGATGTACCAGTACCCTGATTGCCTATTTCTAAATTGTTGTGAAACCCTTTCAATTCTAACTTGTGGGTGCTTAATCACTCACATCTTTTAAGGCAAGTCTACTCCACTCCATTCCTTTTAATGCTCTGGACTCAATCTGCAAGTCCAGTTGGGTCAACCAGTGCTTGGCCAGAATGTGGACTCGCTCTACCTACAGGTGTAGTATGGGACAGTTATCTAAAAGGGAAGGCAGCGATTGTTAACAATTATTACATGTATTCTTGATTTCATTTTCAAGTTGCGTCGTGCAGTGGTGGATCATGTTTCCGACTCTTTCTTGGAGACTACAATGCCTCTGATTATGATGGTTGAGGCAGCTCAAGCCGGCAACGAGAAAGAAGTAGAAGAATGTGCCAAGTTATTCACAGACCAAGCTGCAAAACTTGAGGAGGCAAGTTTTCATTGAATTTAGCTATTTGGTTCAACAGAATACATTGTGTGTATTCATTGCTGTTCAGTTTTATCCTTAGTGCAAAATTTTAAATTTCTCATTTCATATTTATTTATTTTGAATCACCATACTGGAAAACAAATCAAAAGGAAAGAAATACAAGCCTATTAGAAATTTGAACCACAATAAACCCAGGTGAAAGTGTAGTGTGATCGTCCGGGTATGTGTAGTCCTGAGAAAGACTGTTGTCTGTGGTGGTGACACTCACCCGGGCAATCACAATACACTTTCACATGTTACCCCCGCGTTCAAACCATTTACTGCAATAAATCCGTGTTTATGAAGTTTGGATTGCCTCTGATTTGAATCTCTATCAGAAAGGACTGATAATAACCTGACATTGTTATCTATTTCATCACCTTTTGAAATCAAATTTTTTTTTTTGTCTTTGTGTTGTTCCAGGTGGCAAACCTTGCCTGTTCCATGTCTGTAAATCCTGAGAAGGTAAAGATGGTGAGACTGGCAGCAAAGAGACTGCAGAACTTGTGTCCCCAGGTAAGAACATGCTTTGGTTATACAAATGAAATGGTAATCAAGAATCAGTTCTAAAGGACGAAAAACTGTAGGCCGCGTCTCCTGTGTCTTCTCTGTACTGGTTAGCAGGGGATGTTGAAGAACCCACACACATAATTTGAATAGAGTAGGGAATTGTAGCTTCTGGTGTTGTGGTCTGGACTTGATTCCAATATTAAGGCATCTGCAAAAATTTCCTTAAAAAATTGTAAACTTCTCAATGCAGTCTGGCCAAAGTCCTTTGCAAAGTGTGGTAAATTAAATCAGAAAAGCCACATAGTGGAGATTTAATAAGGATAGTACTACAACTGTAGCCACCTTTTAAAAGTAGAATCGTGTGCAAATTTGGCTCAATTCTTATCCTGTACAAAATTTTGAGATTCTAAATAGTGATTCTACAATTGGTCATTTACTAAGTGTATTTATCTACAAATTGCAGGTCATAAATGCTGCTCGAACACTTGCTGCCAGGCCCCACAGTAAGGTGGCTCGTGAAAATATGGATGTGTTTAAAGAGGCCTGGGAACAGCAATTGCAGGTTCTCACTGAAGCTGTTGATGACATTACAGGAATTGAAGACTTTTTAGCTACTACAGGTGAGGGGATTATATTGCATGAGTGTGGAAGAGGAGGTGACGGGAAGGTTGTGACACCCATGTTCATCAATAACTAGTGGTAATTAATTTTATTGTGATGAAATAATCTTGAATGCTGTCACCACACATGACAGAATAAAGGGAATGATCACCTACTAAGGAAGCCCTTGATTGTTAAACAAATTCTCCTTGTCAGCACCCTAGGAAATGTATAGAGAACAGTATGGAGAATATGCATACTGATGTTAGGCTGTAAAGGGTTAATGGTGTTCTTTTTCTTGTGTTCTATCAGAGGCACATATCCTGGAAGATGTCAACAAATGTGTCCAGGCTCTGCAAGAGAGAGATCCTGAGAATGTGGACAGGACTGCTGGACAGATACGTGGACGCACAGCCAGACTTGAAGATGTGGTGACTGCGGAAATGGAGAATTACCAACAAGGGCCGTACACTGATAATGTAATGAGAGCAGTGATGTATATGAGGAACGAAGGTGAGATCTCTAGCTTGTGAGTTATTAATTTAAAAGTATTTTAGAATGAAAAATACTTCGTGCATCGAAGGAATTATGTTTTCGTGCACGCAGCTTTCGTGAGCAAATTTCAACAAACAGGACGGCTTTTGCAATTCAGTTTTAATTAAATAAAAATGAAAAAGGAGGTGAAGCGTGAAGCATTGGCTTGACTTGAATACGGTATTAAACTTTACCATCGAATCAAAAGATTGAACAGATTCTGTTAAACGAATAGTGCATCGAGGCCAACAAAAAAATGTCATAAATTCAGTAATTGATCCTGGTTCAGTTAATATTCATTTATACATGTACAAATATTATTACACGACTCGGGCAGTCAGAGGGCCAATAACTAAAATCAA